GTGCACTGGCTCTTGTCTAAATGCACCTATGTTCCAAATTTCGTAGCCGTGGATCTATTAGCCTACGTGCAGCGCGAACGAAAGACACAGACACTCTTCGAAATCGTTGAGTTTGTTTATCAAAAATTCTTTAATATCTGACAAAATATGAAACAGATAATAAAACAGATAATAAATTCCAAATTAGGGCCTTCAGATGCCCATATCTGTTGGAGGATTACGTTATTCAATATTTTATGGATCTAGGTACCGTTGTTTTATTCCAGTGCGAGAAACATACCTACATTTATGCAGATTCTTCATTATTTAATTTCTTTACATCTAATACAGGGCTGCAATATTTGGTGGCAACAGTTTGAAAAGTGATTCAACGCAGAAAGTGACTCAACGCAATATGCGATAACGAAATTAGTAGCTCTTTTGGGCTAAAAAGATGAAAGAGATCAAAACTGCTAAATATGAATATGCAATACGTGAATTATTTAAATTAAATAATGTGACATTTCTTGGGAAGAGTGAAAGAAATTTTGAGTTATAAAATTTCTTATATCTAAACATTTGTGATAAATAATATTGAAACATATTTGTGTGCGTATTAAAACTTCCTAAACTAAAAGTTCTCCCACATTTTAAAATTTATTTACTTTCTATGTATTTCTTATTATTTAAATTCAGTAAAAAACAAAAATGCTCACACTGTTATGTGCCCTCGTGGGCAGATGCATCTTCGAGTAGGATTGATAATTCTATAACTATTGCATGCAGATTAGATAAGGGCATAAAAACCTTGACCGGAACATAACAACATTGTTCAATCACCTTTAAAGCAAAAAATGTACGATTTACGAACACATAACAATAAAAAACTGACCTCATCGAGTCGGGTAACTCAGGGAAGTATATATATATATATATATATATATAGGTATTAAGTGTGGCCGATTGCAATGGAAAAAAGGAGGTGCACAACTAGATGTTAAGCAGTCCCATATACAAAATTTCAACTTTCTAACGCTATTCGTTTTTGAGTTATGTGATATTATATTCATGTGTCATAAAATTTTTTTTTTCTGAATCCATTTTACAATCTCTTTTTGAAAAAAAAAAGCCCTTTATTATATCTGTACATACAGATGTCATGCAAAAATATCATTTAAATGGATTCTAGAGTAGTCGAAATGAATATTTTCATTGAAAGATGGTCTCCGAAGTTTTTCGCGGTTACATTACTTCCTTTAGTTTGTACAAGGAAGTAAAAACAGACTTTTGTAAAAGAAGACTAAAAACCTATGACTATCGGAAATCCAGTACCAGATTTATCAAGAATTTTTGTATTTGATTATTGATTTCTTTCATTGGTTTTGTTATTTTTGCCACTGGGAATCATTTAATTTTTTTCTTTATTTTTAAGAAATCTCTAGAGCTGTCAGCCATTCTGATGCATGAATCTGGAGTTCCAAATCACAGAAAGCTAGCAAGAATTCGGTAAGCACATGAAACAGAAAACTTATTTCAATTAATCCAAGCAATACTTACCACCATGTTATGCACATGAAATTATTTCATTATTTCTTCATGGTGTAAATTCAAAATAAGAAGAAAAGTAATATTTGTTAATTTCCAAAATAAACCTAAGACACTATACTGATTATTAAAAAACGTAACTATAAAATTTTCTAATAATTTTTTCTGATCAGATTGGTACTCGCATGTACCAATCTGGTGTTTTCGAAACTGATCACTTTAATGCTCATCAGTAATTTCAGCTTCTCAGAAATACTGGTTACCCTTAATTAAATGACGGTTACTTAAGTTACATGTAGAATTTGATGAAACTCACACAGAATGTGCTTTAAATGGCTAATCTTAACCCGACTGCGTAATTTTTTTATCCCAATAGGTTAAAAAATTGCGTATTTTTTGTTATACATTTCAAATCAACATATACAAAAATTTTTTGTAAAAGAGTATTTTTTTCAATATAGAATTAGATCATAGAAAATGGCTATCAGAATACTGAAATTGAAAAATAATGATACAAAAGGAAAATTTTGAAAATTAATATTGGTTAAATTATGATTTATTTCATGAAATACAAAGTAAAACAATATATGTGAAAACATTTGCATAATGTAATATTTTGCTACACTTTGGTACGACTGTCGAACGTTTTCATAGAAACTGAATGTTCAGATTCATCACTATCTGCAGAGAGTCGAAGAAATTCTCATCGGTTTCGCATAACTATCTTCGATAACTTGAAATCAAAACTACTATCAGTGTCGTAATATCGTCAGAATATAGTTACATCACTCGCGAACCTCTCCTGCCGACTATTTGAGCTCTGAAAAGCGCACGGAAAATGCTGCATTACGTATTCTTGTATATTTGGCAGAAATGTGGACAACTAACGCCATCTGTTAGCCGACATCTCAATAAACAATTAAACATCACAGGAAAGGCGAAAGGAAACGTTTGAGCGGGGAAACAGCGGATTGCACTGTTAAATAGACGGCAAAAATTCATCCCCGCGGAAATAGCGGGTTGCGCAAATATGTTGCCCGTGGAAATCGCGGGATGCGCAACGAGAGGGTTAAGCCGTTAATCCTAATTTCTTGATTTATTATCTATACAGCTAGTTTCACGTAACGAATCAATATTGAGATAACGCCGAAGGTAATTTATTTTTACTTTTAAGGTAATTGTGATTATTAGAATCTATTTTGAAATTGACAACTCGAGTACATAAGCTTCTATCTTTTCCTTTTTAATGTCGAAAACCTTATATATTTAATTTTACATTAAAAATTAAAACAACATAAAAGTTGCTTTTAAAAACAACAATTAGCAATTATGGAAGATACGCTGGCGATTTATCGTGAAGGAACCTGGCAAAACAGTTCGAGAGATAGTTGCTATTGCTTAGATTATTGATTTTTTTCCTGGACATTTATTTAAAAGAAAGCAGCGATTGGAAAAAAAAAAAAAAATAGGTAGAAATACTTTATTCGATGAATATTTTAATAGGTGTTGAGTTTCTTTTAATTATTAAACACAATTTAAGATGTAAATTTTCTATAATTTTTTTTTTTTTCTCTTTTCTTATAATGTCTGTTTTCTATTACTTTTTTTAGCATAATTCTTCTGATCTCATTTATATATCGGTTGTCATGTCTTTTCAACACCTCGATTTATCTGAAAATATTTGCCTTATACAATTAACCATCTTGATAAGAAAGATCAACGGGGTCGTAGTATAAGAAATCTCCTAAATAAGCAGGTAGTTAACTGGAAGACAGAAATATGCTTCTATTGAAGAAAGCTTCTTTATTCACACACATTTTTCTCCAACGACATTCGTTCAACATACGACATCGCGACTACTAGTCGTAAGATGCTTTAAATCCTTTTGGGCTAAGACACGAAATGATGTCTAAGACACACATTTCTTCTGTAGAGAGTAAAATAATTTCTTTTAACATCCAAATTTAATTATTCCAATTTTTACTCTCGTAATGTAACATTCAAAAAACGTTTCGAAGAAGCATATACAGTCAATATTTTAGACATCCAAATTTTTCCTTCCATTAATTTATTCTTATTCCTTTATGTCTTTGTAATGTCAGTATAAAGCCAATTCTCGAACCAAAGACTTTTTTTTTTTTTTTTTTTTTTTTTTTTTTTTTTTTTTTTTTTTTAAGATTGGAAAATATGGTTAAAACTAATGTACTATAAATGCTGATTAAATTTTATTTCTCCTATTTTATCTCAAATATGCTACGGATTTGTCATAAGTTTAAAGATGCAAAATAAAATTAGATTATGTCTAATGAATTTGATAAAAATATCATTGTTCACTTTTAAATTTTTTATATTAAAACAGTGAAAGATTGTCGCAAGGAAGAAACGGAAAGAGTGTACATTAATTTAGGCCTCGTAGCAATTGAGAACAAAAACTATCAAAGCGCCGAAAAGTGGTTTAGGAAGGCTCTCCTCGTAAGTAGTGTTCTACTTGCAATTTTTTTTTTTTTTTTTGTTGTCATATCTTTAGAAAAATATGCTGCTAACTAGTTCCTAAATTACCTTAGGTCTAAATATTATTTGTCTGCTTGTTTGAGTACAGCAAATTACACGAGAGGAGGAATGCCTTCCTAAAGAACATTTTATACACTCGGAAGGAGAGTACGATAATATCTCTATTATCCGCTATCGTTCGAGTCCGGGTCAAACTCCCAGTGTTCATCGGCGTCATCCGCTCGACCATTAGTGGAAAAGTTCGAAACATAAGAAATGAGGTACAATCTTAACAGCATAACATAAGCGATTGTTTGATGGTGGATTTTTGACTTTGCTGGAAATAAATTTCTATATCAGTACTTGGTTTTTCTCATAGAAATTCATTAATACTACATATTTTCCAGGAATTAAAAAAAAATCTAAAATACGTTTTTGCATTCCCAAACCCACACACTTGTCACTAAGCGCGCCTCCAAAGTGAAGACACTAGTATCTACTACTGTTCTTCATCAAGCACAGATTGGTTTGGTTTATTTGATTATAGCAAAGCCTCGAGGGCTATCTGTATAAGGGGAGACATGCCTTCGTGGAGGACTTTCTAAGGTAAACTTGCTGGTATACACGTTACACATGAGGAAATTCACGAAACCACCCATGCAGCCAGCCCGTTCGCAGAATTCGAAACTCGGAGCGAACTACCAGTGTTCAGATACTTTACCGCTCTGCAGTTGGTGGGCCACGAAGCAGAGAATGGCAAGGCAATGAACTGGTCAACCCACAGACTTTATTCTCCTCCTCGAGGGTCACGTGTCAGTTAAGCTGCAATCACGTTGAAATTCACGTGAGGAACACTGTTGCCATATCGATGGTCGGGATGAGAGGTTCAAATCTTAAATATATTACCATCTGTTACATGCATTTAGTTCAAGTGGAAAATTAATTTCTGGCCACAGTGTCTGTCCAGGCGGTGCATTTTCATAATTTATCCCTAGATTGCCCTGCGAGTTTTTCCTGTTTTTTCGCTGATAAAATTACTAAATTCTCAAAATTATTGGTAATCACAAATTATTAAATATGTATTACTTATTTACTATTAAAAACATCAATTATTTAAGCAGATCGTACCCACAGCAAAACATGTGACTTATTGGGATTAAGGCTCATTTGGCGGAATGAGAAGCGAAAGAGTTGACCAGCTCATGCAAAAAAGTATTCCATAATAAGAAAGACGAAACAAAATTTCTATTCTAAAAATCTAATCAAATTCCAAGATCCAAATTATATATAAATCCTATTCTTTACCGAGAATGCTTCGCAACCAGACTAGAAAGAAATCTTTCAAGGTCAGACAGCCTTCATTTTTCTATCAAAAATGAACAATAAATGGTTATTCCATAAACTTTACTTAATAGATAATAAGCACGACCAATACCTGATGAAAGATAGTGTAGCATTAGTATCTCTATTCACTCATATCTATTCACTCATACTTATTCATGTGTATCTCATTATCATTTCCATGATAGCAAAATATTAATAATCATTATTTCCCTACCACTAAATGGATTAATAAATAAATAAATAGATAGTGAGCAGAACCAATACCTGATAACGGATAGTGTAGCACTAGTATCTCTCTTCACTCATACTTATTTACACGTATCATCTCATTACCAGTTCCATAATAGCAAAATATTAATAATCCTTATTTCCTTCTAACTAGATGGATTGATGAATAAATAAATAGATAGTGAACACAACCAATACCTGATGAAAGATAGTGCAGCATTAGTATCTCTATTCACTCATACTTATTCACATGTATCTCATTATAAGTTTCATAATAGCTAAATATTAATAAACGTTACTTTCCTCTGGCTAGTGGATTAATATATAGGTAATTAGCACAGCCACTACCTCATAACAGATAGTGCTGAAGTAGTATTTCTGTTCAATGAAAATTATTTACACATTATCGTCATCAGTTTACTGATGGTTATGAATATTAATATTGGTTATTCCCCTACAACTAAGTGGATTAATAAACAGATAACGAGCCACCCAACGCTTGATGACTGATAATGTAGCACTGTATTTCTCTTCACTGATACGTACTTACGCGTCACTCATCATCAGTCTCATAAATGCTGCAGGCAATAATAACAGTTATTTTCCCCTACGTAATCAGCGATAACACGGATAACCTATAGTGGTGAGTTGGAATCTCTTCAATTACGTCTAATGTACATAACTGGTAATCAGTTCTTAGATAGTTGTAAATATTAGTAATCATTATTTTCCTCTAACTAACTAGATAGCAGTAGTATAAAAAACAGAAAATAATAATACAGTCAAAAGTCGTTAATCCGGACTCGTCGGGACTTCGGCGATTCCGGATTATCAATTTTTCCGGATTATAGATCATCAGTTTAAATCTCGTAAGATGGCATGCAGAAATTCTAAAATTAAAAATATGAAACCGTAATTTATGAAATAAAGAACAATTATGATCTAAAGGGTATCAAAATTTACAAAAAAAAAAAAAAAAAGCTTAATATTTATTTGTTTACTTTATTAAACATTTCTTTCAATGTAAGTTGTTTAAGTTGCTTCGTTTTATGTGATAATACTTTCTCTTTAATTCTATAAACAGACATAATTTCTTGTTCAGTTAAAAGTTCCGCTGTTCAAGTCCTGTTAATTGCTGTGCCGAGAATACCGACTAACTTGTCAATCGAAATTTTTTCGTTTTCACTAACCTCTCTGTCACATTCTTCATGTCTTATCCATTTTTGCAGCAATTTCACTTTTTGTTTGTTGGACATCGAAACATACTTTCGTTTTGTAGATCCTTTGGAAGTTCCAGCAACGAAAATTCTATTTGACATAATCGAAAGTTCAAGTTTACTTTTATAAAATTGCTCTTACAGTCTGCAAAAAATAATAAAGTGGATCCAATGAAGATTAAGGAAACAACGCAATCATTAACATTAACTGAAATAGATAATTAGATAATTTTAGCTACACCGTCCGTTATACATTAAACGCGCAGGCGAAAACGTATTCTGCGCTTGCTCATACGCATATTCGCAGTAGCCAAGTTCTTACGTGCACGCGTAAAACGCCTGTGCGCATGTGCTAACGCGGCACATGCGCAGAAAGGTTTTAGCTTTGAGGTCTGGATTATAGATCATTCCGGATTATGGGTGTCCGAATTAACGACTTTTGACTGTAATAGTAAAATTCTAAATGTAAGTTTATAAGGTAACTATTAAAATAAAGTCTACTTAGCCTTCTTCTTTTGTGGATGAATTCTTGGCTTGGCACTTAACTAGAATTCTAAATTTGCCAACATAAACAAGGTGTTAAACTTAATTAAAAATTTAATACCTCAGCACTTTATAGAGACAAAAATAACATTAATTAAGATTTACCCAACATTACCAACGAGGTCTTAGTAATGCAAAGACTTTAATGAATATTTTTGAATATTACTTTTCAACCCAGAAGGCTTTCGGTGACCTTTTTCAGAACATATCTATATATGTACCTTTCTGCTTCTTTTTTTTTCATCCACTTGCTATATGCTAAGCATTTATTTATATTTTTCATTTCATGGCAAAGCATTCTAGCTGTAAGTTAAGTTATATTTTCTTTTTATTGCAGAAAGATTCTGTTTCGAGAGAAGGTCTTTTCAACTTAGCATTACTTTTATCGGAGCAATTCCGAGAAGCTGAAGCTATATATTTTTTGGATCAATTGTTGCAGGTAAGTACCACGCAGTCGCTGATCTTTCTTTTCCTTTCTGGTCTATATTTATTCTAAGGTTAGCGAAATGCTCAGACCCCGTTTATCTCTGCAAAATCGATTTGACGAATCCTATTAGAATGTCGTTATTCCATGAATAAAAGAAAAGCCATTGCATTATTTAAACATTCATATCCAGCAACGGTTCACCAATATCTGAGATCAGTTTACCAATATTCTATAGCTTCTTTTATATAGAAAGCATGTTGGTGATATGGGTGTTTAATCTACTGGGTTAAAACTTTTACATTCTGACTAGTTTGACTGACATTAAGCTTCTTGTGGACATTTTTATTACACAGTGTGGCAACTCTCAAAGTGTGGCTCATGATCGATCAGAGAGGGACAGGACACAGTTTTTCATAAGTCTAAAAATACTCTTTTTATGACACAAATATGTACAAAAGGACCATAAAAATCCTTATATGGTCTTTATTTTTGCAAAGATTGATCGCAGACACATATTTCTAGTTACAAAACTGTTATTACATAAATATTTACACCAGGATTACAGAAGGTCTTTATGTGAACCTCTATTTTCGCAACTATTGTTTGTACGCATATACTTCTAGTTACAAAACAGCTATTAAATAATTTTTTCACTAGGATTACAGAAGTCTTTATGCAAACCTTTATTTTCGCCAGTATTGCTCAAAGACATATATTCTTAGTTACAAAAATGTTATTACATAAATATTTACACCAGGATTAGAGAAGTCTTTATGCAAACCTTTATTTTCGCCAGTATTGTTTTGCCAGTATTCTCACTTACAAAACTGTTATTACATAAATATTTACACCAGGATTACAGAAGTCTTTATGCAAAACTTTATTTTCGCCGGTACTTTTCCTAGGCATCTATTTTCAGTTACAAAAATGTTATTAGATAAATATATAGTACATCAGGACTACAAAAACCGTTACGAAACCATTGGTCGTAGGCATACAGTGTCTCAAAAAAGTGATGGGACACTTGTGCTTTACAAAAGGAAACTGCAATAAAATAAATTTAAAAAACATGTAAAATTTTTTGTGGGTGTGTTTCATACTTAAATTTAGTAACAATTATTACATAACATACATTTTCTCAAAATATTAAAATATTAATTTAATAAAAAGTACAATTGTTTAGAACAGAACAGAAAATGGCTCACTTAAGTGATGGGACACTACGTACTATGCAACAAAAATCGTCTGAAGTAAGCAATAAAAATATCTTTTGGGGTATTTATTTTTACTCAAAAGCAATTGCCAATAATTTAATACAATAATTTATAAAATAAATTTATAAAATCGTCTGCAGTATTTCTCTCCAGTTTGTTTTGGAATTTTTGTGTTTTTTAGCTCTGTGCAGCCATGAATGCTAAACGAAAAGAAACTTTGCCTGGAATTCGAAAATTAGTTATTAATTTGCATATTGAACGTGGAAAATCTATTAGAGAAACTACTGAAACAGTTAACTTCAGTCATTCAACAGTTTTCAATATCATTAAACGATATAAAAGGAATCATATGATTCAGGATAAAAGAAGACCTGGCCGACCATCAAAGCTATCCAATGGAATAAAGCGAATTATCGTTCGAAATATTTAAAAAAATCCAAGAATGAGTGCTCCTAAAGTTGCTGCTGATTTACAAGCATTATATGGAGTAATTGTTAATTCTGAGACTATTAGAAGAGTAATTCGATCTACTGGATATCACGGTAGAGCAGCCAGGAAAAAATTCTTCGTAAGTGAAAAGAATAGAAAACTCAGACTGGCTTTCGCAAAATCCAACATAAATAAGAATTCTGATTACTGGAATGCAGTTATATTTGCTGATGAGAGTAAATTTAATATATTTGGTTCTGACGATAGAATCTTGGTGTGGAGAAAACCCAGGGAAGAATTTCGCAAACAGAACTTGGTGCCAACAGTAAAACATGGTGGAGGAGGAGTTATGGTATGGGGGTGTATGTCGTCCGCTGGAGTTGGTAATCTTGTTTTTATTGACAGTATAATGGATCATTACAAGTATATTGACATTTTAAATCAAAATTTGAAATCTTCAGCACGAAAATTGAACCTTCATAACGATTTTAAATTCTACCAGGACAATGACCCCAAGCACAGTGCTTTGAACGTTAGACTCTGGCTGCTGTATAACTGTCCTGAAATAATAAAAACACCCCCACAATCTCCACAATTAAATCATATAGAGAATATTTGGCAAGAATTGGAATCAAGAATTCCCAAACACACCATTTCTTCAAAACAACAATTAAAATCGGTGCTTCAAGAAGAATGGGGTCAAAATCACTCCAGAAATCACAAAAAAAATTAGTCGAAATCCATCCCAAGAAGATTAAATTCACATGTTTGAAAAGTAAAAGGAAATCCAACAAAATATTAAAACCTTTTAAAAGTAAAATTTTTGGATAAATATTTGATGGAAAAGTAAATGCCCCATCACTTACGTGAGTATCCAATCACTTAAGTGAGCCATTTTTTGCTCCGTTCTAAACAATTGTATTTTCTATTAAATTAATATTTTAATATTTTGAGAAAATGTATGGTATGTAATAATTGTTACTAAATTTAAGTATGAAACACACACCCACAAAAAATTTTTACATTTTTTTTAAATTTATTTTATTGCAGTTTCCTTTTGTAAAGCACAAGTGTCCCATCACTTTTTTGAGACACTGTATATTTCCAGTTACTTTAAAGGATGAGAATTTCTGGCATTCCTAAATTTAATAAGATCAATTTTATTTAAATTACGAAATTTAATCTTATATACGGTTTTGTGGTTCCTTAGTTTCGAAAATTAACAACAACAACAAACCAAAAAAAAAAAAAAACTGTTAAAATAAATTCGACGTGATATCAAATTAATATTTCAGTTCCTGTATTTTAATAAAAATCCTTTTTTTTTATATACAATATCCTCAGTGAAGACAGTTTCGATCACGATAATACCGTAAAACATACAGGCAAAATCTTTTGCTATGTTTTCATAAATGATAATCCATCCATAAATTAAGCATCTTTCTTCCAAAAAATAAGTTATTTTACTATTTTATAAAACTATATTATTCATATAGTTTTCGTTGTAATTAATATTGATGGTTTTTTTTCAGCATTATCCAGATCACATCAAAGGCCTGCTTCTACTTGCTGACATCAATGTAAATTACTTGCGAAATTTGGATGCAGCAGAAGAGGTATATTAAGTTCAAATATCTTTAAAAATTAATAGTGCACGTTCATGCATTAATGATTCATAAAAATGATCATATTCGTGGCTAAATAATGAACAATGCTGAATAGTTCATGCATTATTGATTCATAGTGGGAAATAATCCAACAAAAAAGAATCATAATAATAAATACATGCAGATCTTATTAATAAACATTTGTTTTTTTCACATTACTTATAGACACATAAGATTGACTGATTTCATATTTTCGACAAAAGTATCAAATAGATAAGTTGTTAGATGCTTCATAGCCAAATTTTAATACTAAGGTTTAAAAGGTGGTCACAGAAAAAATGCCTTAATTTTAATTCTTGTCACTAAACTTCTATATTTCATGTTTGAAAATTTATATATTTTAATGCCTTACCCTAATTTAATGCAATCTTGTTAGAGAAGGCACATAGATTTAAATCACTTTATACTGTATTTAGATCTATCCGAAGTCATTTGTTCCTGTAACTAAAGTATTTCTGAGATTATTTCATGCTTCTCCGTGTACTAAGACATCGGAACTTGCTACAAACCACCTTTTTATCCTTTTCGTCGGCGTCTTAGTTTTAATACTCTAGGGTTTATTACCGTTGAAACGCGCTAACTTTCACTAGTTGTGAAAATTAGAATAAAATTCCGCGTTTTAGCATTGCAATAAATTCTAGCCCAGAGATTACAGTTTAACCTTATCTTGGTTAGTGTCGTTTGTTGATTAAAATAAGACTTCGTTACGTAACATTGCGAAAATTCTGACTGATTGCAAGACGTGTCTCATTTTTAATATAGATAAATTTCAACTGCTTTTTTTTATCCTTTTTATCTTTTCGTCGGCGTCTTAGTTTTAATACTCTAGGGTTTATTACCGTTGAAACGCGCTAACTTTCACTAGTTGTGAAAATTAGAATAAAATTCCGCGTTTTAGCATTGCAATAAATTCTAGCCCAGAGATTACAGTTTAACCTTATCTTGGTTAGTGTCGTTTGTTGATTAAAATAAGACTTCGTTACGTAACATTGCGAAAATTCTGACTGATTGCAAGACGTGTCTCATTTTTAATATAGATAAATTTCAACTGCTTTTTTTATCCTTTTTATCTTTCGTCGGCGTCTTAGTTTTAATACTCTAGGGTTTATTACCGTTGAAACGCGCTAACTTTCACTAGTTGTGAAAATTAGAATAAAATTCCGCGTTTTAGCATTGCAATAAATTCTAGCCCAGAGATTACAGTTTAACCTTATCTTGGTTAGTGTCGTTTGTTGATTAAAATAAGACTTCGTTACGTAACATTGCGAAAATTCTGACTGATTGCAAGACGTGTCTCATTTTTAATATAGATAAATTTCAACTGCTTTTTTTTTGTATAAGGAGCTGACATGTTTCATTACAATCCAACACTTGGTGGATTAACACCATCGACAGGTGTAATTTTGTTGCTGGTAAAGGCACTAATTCATTTTCACTAGCTTTACTTCTTTACTAGCATTTTCACTGATGTTATTCCTGGAAAATTTTATTCTTCCTTATAATAAGTAACTGATAAGACTGTCAACTTCCTCAAGGATGCATTGCGTGTGTAGGGTGCTACGTGCGTAGGGTATGCACGTATAACCAATGATAGCTTGATAAAATTTATTTTCCCAAAAGAAACATTTTACCAATTCTGGAACATTCTACAAAATTACTCTCTCAGCTCTTCTCAATATCACAGAGTACAATTAGTAGTTACACTTCAAGCTACTAAGAGCGTTAAACACATAGCAGTACCAAGTGCATCTAAAGGGTAAGCTCTCAATGCTCTCAAGACACCGAAGTTAACTTATTAAAAAAACTGAGAACTGAGAACAGGCGCTCTCTCCGCTCTTATTAGCTTAGCATAAAATGTCAAAGTTACATGCAAGAGCCAGACACGGTTACAATTAGTTACAATTACGGTTGCAATAAGGACCAATTATATTTATTCAGTTACAGCACCAGTTACTTATAGAGGGACCATACCAAAATGTTGTCAGATGGTCGCCAGGTTTGGCGGCATTTTGCGATTTCTCGTCAAATTTGATGACAAAATTACTCGCCAGTTTGGCTATATCTTGCCAGTTTAGCAAGATAGCCATTTACTTCAATGTTAAATAGATTTGCTTTTGTTTTCTTATTTCTTCGTCAGACATTCCCACTCATCAAACGTTTCGTGTTGCATTATACGAAAGATTCTACATTTTCACATATAATTCTATAACTAAAATTATTTACGTATATACAAAATTCATAGCAATTATAATTTACTGAATGCAATGAGCGTGCATGTGCCTTTATGCTAATGCATAAAACACCCCTACGACCTAACTAATGTAAGAAACCTCGACAACTTGTTTACGGTTCTATTATAAGTAAGATTTATTGGTTTTCTTTTAGATTTAAAATGCATAAAAATTGTTTTTTTTTTTTTAACTAGTAAAAAAAGTGAAACGTGCAATAAGATGAATGATAAGAAACTACTATTGCAATGTAGAAGTTAATGATTTTTTACTCGTAGCGAATTAAAATAAAATTCACTTTCTTTAGATATTTATTTCTGAAATTAATAACTTTTTAATTTACAAATACAGTGCAGTCTCAATTGCCCGAAAGATATTTTATCCAAAAATGCTAAACACTGCTTGGACGCATGGCAGCATTATATCGAATTGATTTACCAGATAATATAAGGGAGTATATGCACAGTTATCTCAACATCACGGTTAACAAAAATCCAGTAAAAAAATGTCGAGTTAAGTAACTATAATATATGAAAAAAAAAAATACTACAAGGCAATTTACCTGTAACAGAATTTTCAGAAACTGCGATGTAATAAAGTTTCATATCATTACAGTAAAATATTAAAAAAAAGCTTTATCATTCTCACATTTAAAATTCGCGTAAAAAGTCAGCCAGAAGTTTTTTTCTTCGCTTAGTTGGCTTTTTTTTTTAAGATTGATGATCTTATCTTGCATAGTGTTATTCTGTCAGTCAGCAGACAGTCCCAAGTAGTCCAACGGTAGCCCTTCCAAGTAGGCACTCGACGTGAAAGTGCAACTTCATGCTTGTCTTTATCATCAGCAGACAATTCCCCGACTCCACCTTCGCTGACACTTCCTTGCAGGACTTCTTGGCCTTTCAAATTGAGTGCTGCCCCACACAAAAATCAATCTACCATGTTGCAACCCCACAGAGCAAGGGCAGACAAAGGCAGTACCAGTACGGTACCTGCCGAGCCTTACTCTGTCCCGAGAGCCCTCAGGCCTTCTGTGAAGTCTGTTGTTATGCCCCGTGGTTGAGACTGCCTAGGTACAGATCCTAACCAACGACTTCATATAACAGGTAGACGGCTCACCCACAGAGAATTCGTCTGCTAGGGTGTCTCCAACATATACCACATGACTTATGCTCTTGGGGAGTGATAGCTTAGTCTGTTCATCGCCAGTTTGGCGTGCTTTTGATATGCCAGGTAGTCCTTTTTATTTCCGTCTGTTGGCAGTCAGCAGACAACGGCCTCGAATTAGGTTATTCGATTTTTGACAATTATATCTTAGATATAACGTAACCCCTTTTTTCCTGAATATTTTATCTATATTTTTAATAATCGCTTTAAATTATTTGCACCATTGTTTAAGATGTTTAGGTAAGTAATTTTAGGAAGAAAATCTAAAGTAAATAATAAAAAATTGAGATGGAAACTTTAATTTTGAATAACGTTTAAAAATTAAAATTGCACTACTGTTATAATATTGAGAAGGTAAAAAAATCTCGTTTAATTTTAATGCATTGCATCCTAAAGAGAAAAAGAAATCACATTGTATTATATGTATTTATGCCATTGATTGCCTCTCTTTTCTTGAGATTATATTACTGGAACAAAATAATGCACTCTCTTTTCTGAGATTATATACTGGACAAAATAATGCAATCTTAATTACTGATTTCCCACCTCGTGTCATGGCGGAGATCATACATCTTATTAACTATAACATTGTTTCATAAGAATAAATTGAATTAATTAAAAAAATTAATTTAAATACAAATTAATTAAATATTCTTTGCGCCATTGCTCAGGAATGAAATTTTTTTAAACAAATTTAAATTTAATTTTAACAAATAATGATGATTTTTAAACAAATTAATTTAATAAATTTTAAAAATAATAAAAATTTTTAACAAATAAATGATAATTTTTAACAAATAATGGATTTATTTTTCACTGATTTACTTGATTATGCTTCTGAATTTAAATGATATTGTAGATTAGTTCCAGTATTAAATCTTTTATATGTTTGCACTTTTTTTAAAACTATTTGGCTTTTTTTAGGATTTAATTTGCTTTTTTACTTTATACTATATTTAAATTAAATTTAAATTTGTTTAAATTTATTAACTATAACAAATATTTTATATTGATATGTATCAAACGGTAAAAACTTCAACTCAGTATTTATTATTAGGATCAAACGAATTACAGTTAAAAAAATTCTCTCACTCTCCTTTTTTTTTTTTTTTTTTTTAAATACTATTTAAAATATGGTAAGTTTTTCACATACATTTTTTCATTACAATAAATTTCTAACAGCATCGTAGATGAGACAGAATTATAATCCAGATTATTTTAATTGATTTTTATAAAATAATGATAAAGCATTGAGCTTTTAAAAAGTAATCTGATTTTAAAATAATGCTGTTTAACTGTTTATTTCAATGTTGCATGAATCAAGATCTTCAGCTTTTTTTTTTAACAAAGTAAACATATCGCGCATCTTTTTCTCATAATTTATGCTAATAATAGCATTTTTCTTTTTTCATTGCAGGCAGTAATTGTTTAGAAATCAAAACGCGTACGACTTGGCGAAAAAAGGTTAACAACGCCAATTGGCGCATTCTATTTCATTGGAATACACGGAAAAAACATATAAAATTCAATTATTGTAAGGGTGATTCCAGTAAATTGTGTCACCAGTATTTAATACAATTTTTGATGCTAATAATTTACATGCTGAAAATGTCATATACGGCGGCAATTTTCTTATACAATATGGCTGAAACTTTCCAACCAATTCAACAGATAGTAAAATGACAAAATACTGAAAATAAAATAATAAATCATGCCGTTTTTAACTTACCCATGAAAGGTTACAAGTCCTCCTTTTCACGAAACTTTCTTTACATCCCGTAGGCGCTGCAGCGAATAACCATTTTTTACTTAAATTTTATGTGACCAAGCAGAGCAGCAGTCTTTCGTCCCATAGAAAGCAATGTAAAGTATTTCCGGACTTTCGGAATTCGCGCAGCAGTCACGTGACACTAATGTTGGAACCGGTTGAAGGTTGCAATACGCTCTCTACCAGTATACTATCTCGTTGATCCTAACCAGTACTTCCCAGGCGTTCGCCTGAGTCAAACCCCCCGGGGAGGAGATCTTCTTTGTTACAAAAGCTAGTCACCACAGATCACTTTGGGGTTAACATGTAAGAGGGAAACTGGTTCTCCATTGCAAACAAGGTGATAGCATTTAAAGCTATCACCTTGTTTAACGAACGATTGTAAAACGAACAATTTGCAAAGTTTTATGAAAGGGAGGAAAAAATCGCGCATCTTTCTTTCAGTAGTAAATCAGGCAGAAATATTGTCCGAAACAGTTGTTCGTATGAAACAAATGCATGTGTGATCTGAAACGACTAACAATTTGCCCTTCCGTGTGGTTTGAATGACGACAAGATGCAATCACAATCTGCCTTTCAGCAATATTTTCTTCGTCTTCATGTTCGCCACCAGACATACTGTTTGCAGTCTGAACAAGATAAGTTGGTGACGCCTCTGTGTCTGCATCAAAACCTAAAAAACATTTATATTCTTCAAAATCGGGAAGAATGTTTCCCCAAGATTTAATTAGCGTTGAGGATTTCACTTTCTGTCATGTGGCACCATTCTGTGTGGTAGGTAGTCTCCAGAATTGAAAAATTCAAAAAAAGTTTCAAGATCATGATTTTGCTTGATCAATTTACATAGCACCGCCGAACGGTAGTTCCGTTGGAGCGAGGCCAATAACACCTTTGTCCATTATCTGTATTAGGGCTGCCACGTTAGGCGGGAGCAAGTACTTCCCAAAAAATTGTCCATCTCTTGATTTTAACGTTAGTTCACTTGGGTGGAATGGCGCGTTGTCTAAAACTACCACTGCTCTTCCAGGAAGGCTCTTTGATTTTAAAAAGTCTGTCATCTGGGCTACTAATTTTGCATCAGACCACTGCTGACATGTGATTCTATTCATCCACTCCTTTTTCTCATTCAAATATTGAACGGGAAAGTTCAAATATTGAACGGGAAATCATAATAATGATTATTATTATTCCAATGTTTCGAATACAAGTAATAAAAATTAGAGCAAGAACATTTAAACATCCGTATTTGAATCTGACACAACTTTATCTTTTTCTCTATGTATTTTATTTTATTTTATTTTATTCTGAAGTATTTGTTTTTAAATAAAAATTAATTATATTGATAGATTATTTATTCTAGCCTGTAATCAGTTTGCATTCTGTCCGGATGATTCAGACCAGCGGTCTCAAACTGGCGGCCCTCGAAGCAATTTAATACGGATTCCGAATACCCGTACAGCATATTAATTAGCATTATTTTGACAAGAGTTTGAAAAAAATGTATTCATTACTAAAAACGAATGTGAGTAACTCTCCGAAAATCTACAAATGGCTGTAATTAATTTACACTATGCTATAAATCTTATTCAGAGATTTGAAGATGTAAATTTTGTTAATTTTATTAGAAATCAGAAGGTAAATATTCCCAGTTAAGAGTTTTTGCAATAAGAATAATCACTTTATTTGGAGTAAATTTACATGTAAACAGTTTTTTTTTTTTTGGGGGGGGGTTGGGAATCAAACAAGGTTAGCCCAGAAGAAGGGCTATTAATTTCGTTTGGGCATTATGCATCGAAAATTTTAAATGTTTCACTTTTCAAATTGTTGCCACAAAATATTATTTCCCTGTATTATATTTAAAGAAATTAAATAATGAAGAATCTGCATAAATGGAGATAAAACAACGGTCAAATTTTGAAAAACATAATCTTCCACCGAATATGGGCATCTGGGAGCCCTAATTTAAGTAATTTGTTTTATTATCGATTTCATATTTTTCATCCATCAAATTTTGAAAAACGTAATTTTCCACCAAATATGGGCATCTGGGAGCCCTAATTTAAATAATTTGTTTTATTATCGATTTCATATTTTTCATCCATCAAATTTTGAAAAACGTAATCCTCCACCGAATATGGGCATCTGGGAGTCCTAATTTAAATAATTTGTTTTATTATCGATTTCATATTTTTCATCCATCAAATTTTGAAAAAAGTAATCCTCCACCGAATATGGGCATCTGGGAGCAATAATTTAAATAATTTGTTTTATTATCGATTTCATATTTTTCATAATAATAAAATTTAAAATTTGTAATTTGTTTTATTATCGATTTCATATTTTGTAACAATTTAGCGAATATTTGATTAACAAACTCAACGATTTCAAAGCGAGCAGTGACAACACTGTACAGGGAAAAAAAAGTTTTTATCTCCAGCGCGCGAGACTGCGCATCGGAAATTCTAAAGGTTCATTTTAAAATTATTTTGCGATATTGCTGTTAAATTGAATTTTAGGGTTCAAGTGCGAAGAACATGATATTTAATAAATAAAGCACAAAACGTTAAAAAAAACGCTTACGTTAAATATAAAATCTAAACGTTTTCAGTTTTTTTTTTTTTTTTTTTTTTTTTTTTTTAGATGAAAATAAATCTACGAAAAGAAACAGACTGCCAGACTGCTAATAAATATTTAAGATTTGGGATGAAGCTATTTTCTATCAACTTTGCTCCAAATTAAACTTTGTAAAACTCGAATTGCTACAGGGTGTTGTAACTGAAAAATGCAATAAAAATAACAAAGCTTATAGTTTTACTTTTTTTTTTTTTTTTTCATTTTTGCATAGAAAAATCTAGCACATATAAAGAGAATAGGTTTCAGTATTTATTTTCAAGTTTTTCTCCTCTTGAGAAATCTTTGTATATTTAAGTTAAAAATAATTTACTTAGTGGGTATTTCAATACATTAAAATTATTTGAATAAGTGTCAATCACTCAGATTTTAATATTTAGCTTCCAATACGTTTCAATTATGAATTGTGACCAATACAATTTTTTTTTGCAAACACTAACTTTTAGATTCCAGCAGAATATGACTATGAATTTGAATTTTTCTTTGCGTAATTTTTGCATGTATGTTTTGACAAATATGTAATGAAAATTTTTATACTTAGTTGACAAATCTTGTTTTATTAAGAAGAAAAATATGTTTCTTCCTTTCTCCTATAAAATCTTAATTTGCGAAGATTAATTTAGACCAGGGCTGGGCAGACGTTTCCAGGGTACGGGCAACTTCTAATTTTTACAAGGTGTTGCGGTCCACATAGTGGCGTAGGTGGGGTAAGCTAAAAGTTTACAATATTTATTATAACTTAGTAATAAATACGGAATATGTACTTACCTACCTAAAAAAAGCTTATTCTTTTAAAACCGCTTTTAAAACAAAACGCAAGATACAAACTTAATAATAACCACAAATGTAATAATTTCAAATGATGCATTTCTTTTCAAAATAATTTAAACAAAATCATTTTCATCTAAAGTTGGTTCTCGTAGTTACTCTGCGAATTCTGAATATCTCGGTATATAATTACTGACTGCTAATCTTGCTTTGTCCATTACATTCCAAAAGTTATTCTTAGGTTCTGAACTACGTGCATTTAGAATTTTGTCAATCGGCCCAGTAGAACGGGAGATATAAGAACTGTCTCATTTTGTTTTCTGCGCAGGGTACATGTGTCGTCTACTCATCCATCGAATCATTTGCTTAAGTAAACACAGTCGCGTCGATTGTGAAAAGCCGATTCTCCAGTCTAGCTGGCATCGGTGTTCTATAAATATTTTCTTTTAGTACGCGCATCTTAGGTCTTAGTAAAAGCGGTCACCCCAAAATGTCTTGCTGGTCCACTGGTCGACTTAATGCTCACTCCTAATGTAGATTGTACTGTTGTAAAATTTATGAAATTGATATTTTCGCTAATTTTGAATTTTTCTCTTTCAGTGTTACCGTAAAGTCCTCAGACTGGACCCAAACAACCAGAAAGCATCTCACAACATATGCGTAGTGCATTTTGAGAGACAGCAATTTGAAATTGCAGAGAAGTGCTTTGCAGAAACACTTACCCAGCATCCGAATGTGTCCTACATCAGAAATCATCTTGAGGTGGTGAGAAGCATTATAAGGCAGGGGCAAAGTACAATGTTCGGACACCTTACAACGTCCCATTCCCTCAGCTGACCAACGTGATGAGGAAGTATTTTCAATAAGAGCTTGAGGATTTAAGACTTCCTTGCAAAACTAAGGAAACTGTCCATGTACATGGCGGAACTGAAGTCAACGGAATCAAGGTTACGAAATACACCAGCTGAACCATTGACAACGAAAGGGGTGTTTGGTGAGAAGGAAGGTGAATATTCAGCTTTGTTTTGAGTGGTCTCACTATTTACTAGGATGTCGATCAGTTACCGAACTACTAAAGTCAATGGAATCTATGAACTCATTTGTGAGATCGAACAATTATGTTCAGATATGTAAGCAAGCATTTTGAAATTCTGTTTCTCAAAACCGTCAAGTGAAACTGAAATGCTACTTTCTTGGTACAACCCATCGAGAGACGAAAGTTAATCTTATCCATGGAGTGAAACTGTTGGAAAGTTAAACTATAATGAAAGTTCATCATAATAAATAAAATTTATTTACAAATATAAACTTTAAAAAAATGCACCTTAAGCATGAAGGCATTTTTCTGGGAAAGTTATGGAATAGTGCGTACATTTTCGACGTACGCTTTCATAATATATTCATAACTATGTATGCCAAGAAAAGTTTTAAGACGCACTATTACTTGTGCATCTCCTTCGTATAAATATATGTATGTAACTTAAAATTTTATATTCTCCACCTTTAGTCGTTTTTAGTCCAGGAATGTGTTTTTTTCCCACAGTAGCATCACTAATCACACCTCGTAGTAATAACATCCAAAAGAAAATGTGTTTCTCCTGGTTTAAATTAACATCACCGATTTTTTTTTTTTTTTTTTTTTTTTTTTTAATTTCGGGCATTCTTGACATGTATTGCTCACCAACCATACTACATTAAAATGAAATAAAAATCACATGTATCATTTTATTTATACTTCAGCCTATTTTTGCATTTTATCCTAAGTACTCTTCGAAAATTTTCTGAAAATAGAGTAAATGAACTCATAATTTTTCTCGAAGACCTGTTTAAGTTATACTTCGTTGATTTCAATCAATTCTTACTCAAATAATTGTAAATTTTATTCTTGCTATGTAAGCACCAATTGAAAGTGATCAGAACCTTAAAATCATGTTCCTTGAAATATGCTGAGCAAATTTTATAAAAATTATAAAGACTAATGATTCTATAAATTTCAGTTACATAGAATATAGCAAAGAAAAAAAATTTCAATAATTTTTAATGCATTACTTATGCTAAAATGTATTGTTACGTACAGAGATAAATTTCTCTTCTCTCCCATAACAATATAAAAATATTCCGCGATAAGCAATAGACTAAACATTTTGTATTTTATTCATTCAAAACTTACTTCTCTGTTCAGCTTATACATTAAATTGATCAATATTGTTATGCGCAGTTATTGGCATATTCTTTTGAAATACGCCATGGAAGAGAAATCTGTAAATAATTCAAAAGCTGTTTTATAAAAGTCAGTTGTAATGGAATCCGGGTTTTACATAAATAAATCGCACGACGGGGAATTACTTTGACGGATGGATAATGATCACAATAATGATCACTATCGAAAACTGATTCATTACATAAGAAACACCGCGTTTCATGTCACAAAAGTGAGTGTTCAGTCTATTAAACTACCATTATATCTGTTAGCTACCTCTGCTGTGTGCTGAAAGAAACATTTCCGGGAATTTTCGTTTCCAGCAATTCTGATTAGTTGGTTAAAGAGAAATCCTGCCTGACGCACATCCTGTCCTTCCTCCTACGCGAGACAGATCATGCGCAGGCAAACATTTTTCTCGAGCGTCACAAAGAGTCCCAGTTACGTAATCAGTACACAATGTCCAGCGTAACTGTTTCAGTCAGCAACTTTAACGTTTATACTAGTGCTGAGGGAAATTCGTCGCGCGTCTCTAGATGTCATAACACCATTATTTAACTATTTGATATCGCTTTTAATTCTACTATTTGATTGGTCGTTCTCTATCGGTGAGAATAAGAAGTAAAAATTCATTGCTTTATGAAAAACTATTCCCCTTCTTGTGATTCATTCTCATGTAAAACGCAAAACATGATATTCTTTAAATGGCAATCGTATTGCAAGTGAAAGATTCAGATGCGAGAAGACTTATCAGCAGGCAACAAAAGGACGAAAAGCAGAAACAAAAACTGTTGTAATCAATATTTATCTTTTCAACGTTTCCAGCATTTTTCATAAAAGGATTCAGATTTGCCCAAACTGTTGTGTATTTAGAGAACTGTGCAATGCGTTTATCACTAACTTTTGTTAAATTCCTTGTTTTTTTTTTTTTAATTTTAATTTATAGTCAAAACCATTGTAATTTATGGTATGATTTGTGTAATTTATGTTCAACCATTGCAATTTATATCCTAAATAATATGATTTTATTGATGGTTTCTCAGTAGAATGTTTTAATAAGGTTTAAGCTTCAAAGTGGAGAAAATTTGCAAATGTATATATTTTGATGATTTTTGTTGAACTCTATTGCACTGAATTCGACAATAAAAAAAAAAATAAAAAAAAAAAAAAAAAAGGATATGATTTTGATTTCATTGGTAGAAGGTGAAAAATATGCGTGATCGAAGATGATCACGTACCAACGCCATTGACCCATATTGATTCAGATTCTCACTTTGTAATCACTGCTTCGCTCTATTAATAAAGCAAATATTATTCTTTTCAAACTTGTGATATTTTCTTACTGTCTAACAACAAAAGTTCAGTGACTGTTTTTGAAAGAGTCCATACAATGGCGGTGTCTCGAAACACAATTTTTTTTCCTTGAATTTTCATTTTAATTTCAATTAACATTAAAAGAAAACGTAAAGTAAAAGTTTGACTATCCTGCATTCAAAACCCGGGGGTTGGCTCAGGAGAATTCCTGGGAAGTAATGGCTAGGATATCTATACTTGGACAGTCTTAACCACGAGGCTATATAATTTGTCTTCATAGGACTAGAACCTCCGTTCATTCGGGGGATGGTTCAGGCAAAGAATATGTATTGTTAAGAAGGAAAGCTTCGCAGCAGCAGGAATGGCTCCCTCCGAACGAAAAGGGACACAACTGCGCATGCGTGAAATATCTGTCGCCGAAAAGCGCCAAAGCTCGAAGCTGATGTCGAAGTTCGAACAGGTTAGACGGTCACGTTTATCAAGTGTTTAAAGCTGTGTGACTCCCTTCTGTTTTTCCTAGATATCGACAGATATAAAATGAGACATCAAACTGCGATATGGATAATACAAGTTCAACTAGTAAATCAAAAAAGCACGAAAATTCGAGTTTAAATTATCGCGAAAAGTCAAAGAACGATTCATCTTAAACCGTGTCCCTCAGTTTCCTGTACACATGGCGGAGGTGGAAAATCTCGACCAGGTTCATCACAAAGGGGTAAATTCTCACCAACAGGTTTCCTCGCCAAATCCCTTGGCGAATTGTCCTTCTTCTTTCTAGACAAACTGGTTTACATTACCTCTATGGAGCCTTTCCTTCTTTACATCGACTTTCTTTGGTTCAGGCTCAGCAGGGACTGTAATAGTACTGTCTCATCTGTCTCTTGGCTGTGGGGTCGCAACATTATTAAATATTGTGGCTGTCCTTGGAGGTTTTGTCCTCTTTTTACCATCACCGTTTGCACTTGTGGCTGCCAGGGTAGTTCCCGGTAAGAGTTTTGTCGCGGCCTGGTGGGGACCGCGGGGGCTGGGCCCGCTCGGATGGTCTCCGAAGTACGGATGCTGATTCCTGAAAGCCAAACCGCTACGTGCAGGGGTCCGTCTCTCGTAATCTATCCTGCATTCAACTGTACGAAAAATTCAAGTAACCAAAACATTTAAAATTTTAGAAACTTCTCCTTTTCATGAAAAATTAAGCAAATACGAGACTTATAAAATCATCATAAAGCAAGGATAAGACCACGACTTGGAAGCAAAATCTGCCGCCAAGTTGTGTCTGTGTCGCGAAATAACGGATAAAGAAGACTTCACAATGCAATCATAAAATCTTGGTTTTTTTTTTTTTTTTTTTTTTTTTTTTTTTTTTTTTTTTAACGTTTTTCGTGAACACGATTAAGTCTGGAAAATAATTTTTCAGAATAAATAAATAAATTATCTGGAATTTATCTGTTTGCATTCGTATTTTGAAAAAAATTATAAAATATGGAACCTTCCCAAGCGGAGGACCAAGCAGTGGAGTAGTGAATGAATCTTCCGGTAGGATATGATTTTAAATTGAAATAAAATTCAAAACTATTTCACATGCAATTAAACGTTTTATATCAATTTGAAGAAAAATTTATAGCGTTATGTTTTGAATCAAATATTATTTGAATGTCCATCAAAATTTAAATCACACGAGTGAATTCAATGAACACTGTTTTCGGGACTGTATGCAATAACTTGGACCTAACGTCATGAATGAAACTTTTATCCTTAATGCTTCAAGATTTCATGATTGTGACCTTGTATATTTTTTCAGTAACTTTGAAATGTGTACGAGCAAGCACTTTCATTTACACTTGGATTATTTAATCGTCATCAATACGGAGATGCGCTGAAGCATAAATTATCTTGTAACTAGTTTTTCTTTTTCAATTTTGACTCGAGACACCATACGTGGGGTTGCAATTTCACGACTCTCAGCTCAGCTTACCTGCGATCTTTCTCCGATATTTATCAGTGCTACTAGCTCTGAAAAGGTTGTACACCGATCTTAAATGATCAAAGTGTTGTAAAAAGGCCTTGTTCTATTCCTGGCTGAAATAACCTGATTTTGGAGATATATTGGACTTTGAATTTTGGACTCTGATATTACCGTTATGTCCCTTGCAAGGCTGATTATCATCCGCTTTCAAGAACTTACGGAGAATCGCAGACTTTACACTCAAGCGACTTGACCCAGTTATTCTTCAAACCACTTAAACAGATATTCTTCTAAAAATGTATGCCGAGAAAATTAGCCCAGTTGAAAGGCAGGCGTTAAGCCTACCCACCGCTTTTTCTACTACGGAACTTCCCTGTGGATTGGATTTGAGAAGTCAGGATACCTTAAACCCCTGATATATTTGCATTTGCTTTGAAAACGTGTACTTTGGTAGATTTTGAAATTTCGGCCAGCAGTTCACGATCACGGTCTACAGTTCTGCGAAGCCTGCCGTTGTGAGTACGTCTTCGACGGAAAACTCGGTTGGGCATGTCGCGGACTTAGCTGAGATCAAGTGCCTACCTGGGCCAATCAAGGGCCGTATCTTCTTTACCGTGCGACGAGATTATGTCTATGTCTATGTCATAACACAATTAAGAGGCAATCGGCCTAGTGCGGCCTTTACCAATATATTATAAGTAGGTGTCTTTAATGATGAGTTGAATCCAGTAAGATGGAACGTACTTTTTGCACCTAGTGCAGAGTCTCTAGAAGAGAAGTAAACGTGGCTCCACGATGTGAGGATCTGTAACTTGAGAATTTCTGCCGCTCGGCTATGCTTGTCTTGAGAGAAGCTGCGAATTAATCTTTATCTGCACAGTTCAGAATCATCTCAATGGCTTGAAAAGCTAGGCAAAGTTTCTGCATATTTGATTTAGCTGATTTAATTCTCTGAATTATTGTGGTTATTGATTTAATGAGAAAAAGGGTTTTCTGATCTTTCTGATCTTTGAAAATGTTAATGATTTCTGCTAAATTTTCCTGCGGTTAAATTAAACGTTTACAGTGACAAAGTCAGAGCTTAACTTTGTCACTGTAAAGGTTTTTAGGCATTTCTTGATTAGTTTTTCCTGAAGCTTGAATAAATTAGGGGAAAGTCATCTTTAGTGGGAATTTCTTGTGGTTTTTCTATCTTCTCTGAATGATTGAATCTTTTTCTGTATATCTTACAACCACGATAAGAAGAAACGTGATTTTCGTGACAGTAAATGCAAGTTGGTTTTCATCTGGCTTTAATTTTACAGGTATTGGATCTGTGATTTTGTCCGCACTTACAGCACCTGACCTTTTTAAAGCAGTTATTTTGGGAGTGCACGAACTCCTGGCAATTGAAAACATTGAATTGGGCGTTTTCTGGGCTGATATTTTTCGTTGTGATATTGAATCCGACATATTGTTTAATTGATGAATTTTCTCTCCTGCAGAATTTCTTTTTAGTTCAAGGAAAAATATAGGTAAATGGATAATTTGGTCTTCTGCTTTCTTCGTGCATTGCTTTACTTTAATTATAGGGAAGCTTCTACGTTCTAAGTCTGCGTGAATTGCTTGATCTGTGTAGGATCTTGGGATATTTTTAAGTATAACTTTAATTGAAGAGGCTGAGGAAATTTGGTACGTATAAAAACTAATCTGTGCTTTCTTGAATTTATCAACTGTAGCTTTATAATCGGCTTCGGTGGTAGTGTAAAGGAAAATCTGTCTGGATTTAATTATTAACTTCAAATTCGTTTTTATATATTTCTCTGAGCATTTTGTCTAATTTCAGGGCAATCAACATCGTTTTCTGGAATAACTAATGGGGGAATTTTCGTTTTATTTTCTGCGTTATTATGTGTTGTAGTCGTCTGCGTTTTATCTGTAACTTCTATAGCTTCGTTATGTTCGTTAAGAGTTTCAAATCGTTTATTTTGCGGAATATCTGCTGGTGGGATAGACTCCGAATTTTTCGCGGTTTTCTTTGGAGTTTGCCAATCCTTCTGATTTATTGTTTTATCATCTGTTTTAGAATTTGCGAGCTTCGGGGTGTTGTGAATGCTTGCTAAAATGAACTGCTTTTGTAGAATATCTTCTTGTAACTTTGAACGCATTTCTATCGCTGGTGGGGAGGTTAATGTCTTCATAGACTCAATACTTTAATTTATCGGCGATTTCGTTTTCTAATTTGAGTGAGAGATCTTTTGGGTTAGTCGGAAGCTGAGTATTAAAATATTCTTGCGAGATATTGCGAGATCTCGTTACGAAACCAAAGAATATGTATTGTTAAGAAAGAAAACTTCGCAGTAGCAGAAGTGGCTCCCTTCCAACGAAAAGGGACAGTTGCGCATGCGTGAAATATTTGTCCCCCAAAAAACGCCAATGTTCGAAGCTGATGTCGAAGATCGAACAGGTTCGATTGTCACGTTTATCAAGAGTTTAAAGCTGTGTGACTCCATTTTCCCCCTCCATATTGAAGGATATAAATCAGATATCAAACTGCGATATGGATAATGCAAGTTCAACAGTCAGTGAAAGTGAAACTTCACCTAATTTTCTTATTGATCTTAATCCGTTTTCCTCAATTTCTTGTACACGTGGCGGAGGAGGAAAATCTCGGCGAGGTCCGGTACATCACAGAGGGGGAAATTCCCGCTAACAGGTGCCGTCGCCAAATCCCTTGGCGAATTTTCCCTCTTCTTTCTAGCGGCGTAGAAGCATGGACCTTATAAGAAATAGACTAACCCAGTGGGCGGGGCGCGCGTCACCGACATGTCGGCTAGAAAGAGTAGGGACGATCTGGTTTACTTTAACATTGAAACCTATGGCATATGTATCACATAACTCTTTTTAATTAATAAATGTGATACTTTGTATAGTGATGAGATTATGAAAGCCACAGTTTTTTTCAAATATTATTTAATATATCTCATTAAAGCACTTTTTACTGCATTTCGCGCATTTTTTTCACGCGTAATTCTTGTACAAACATCTTTACTTTGGTAAAACGGTAAA